CAGCAGGAAGTACAGTCAGGTTAGGTTTGGTAGTCACTAAATAGCATTTTTCTTGTACGTGCTGCCCTTCCTCTATAGATTTCTTCCTAGAGCAACCTCAGTCTTAGGTAAGAGCCTTTACAAATAAGCCAAATGCCTTTAGCTTAAAAGAAGAAAGACAGTCTCAAATCGTGGCACAGTGCAGAAGTTTGTTTTGGCCAAAAGCAAGACCAAGCCTCCGTATTAAAGCTCTGCTTATATAGTATCATTAGTTTATCCTGCTTGGAGATAACAGAAAACTGTTATCCAAAGTATTGCTGTCTTTTTGAAATAAAATGTGCATATGGTCTTGGACTTGCCAAGATATAATACTTTAATTTAAAGAGCTCAACAGACCTTGCTTCCTCTCCAGTATCTCAGTTCCACAACAAAACAATCATGACCAGGACATAATATTAGATTTTTATACCTGCTGTGCATTTTGAGAGACTGTTGGAACATGTTACTCCCAGTGCATTCTGTGCTCTTAGATCCTATTCTGTATTGTCATGTCTGCAAATATTTAGAAGGCAAAAAAACTGTCTGTCTCACACAGCAATGCAGCCCACATGTCTTTAATGCTATTTCAGCACTTTAGACCAAAACAAGACACAAACACCACAGAAAATTACAAAAGACAGAAATACTCTTAGTGGCCTACAGCCAACTGTGGTCTAAACACTTTGCTCGTGAGCTCATCATACGCATGAAACATTTGGAATACAGCTCATAACCTTTGGCTGCACAAATACAGACCTTTAGTCAACAAACTAAAGCAACAGTTTGGTTCATTTGAGTAAAATCAGGCCAATCAGCAGCTGATGTGCTTTAGATGTTGTGACCGGACACCCAGCTCCACTTGCTATACCAGAACACACCGTCCTTTCCAGAGGGAAAGCAAGAGAATTCCCAAGCACAAGTAGAGTGCAAGGCTGCAGAATGCTAAGGGTCTGCCTATGGTCTTCCTAAAAGTGTGTTACCTCCTCAGTACATGGAGAACATCTGCTAAAGGTCTGCACAGGTGTTTGACTTCAGCATGGATGAGTTTCGCTATGTCTGTAGGCCAGATTAGCACGTGGCCCAGGGAGGGTTAAGGTAGCTTGCCATTTCATATAAATCTGCTGCTTTCAAAAGGCCCCAGAAAAAGTCCACCCTGGTACACAGGAAGTGCAGCTAACACAAGCTGTGGAAGATAATTTTGAAGGTACAAAGCTTAATCACATTAAATGACCACAACTAGGGAA